CGTTTCCTTTGCATTTTCGTGACGCAAATAGCGCTTTAATTACGTGAAGCCTCGGGTCATAAATCAASTTGTTTTTAAAAACCATCTTTAACAAAATATACTAGTAATAATAATGATACTATCAATGGCAAATACGATCAATTGCTTTTAAATAGCGCGTTTTGATATATGACCTGCGTTTYCCCGGACTCGCGGTTTGGAAAAATCCCATGCAGTAGACAGAAAAAAAGTCGCTTGAGGGCGTACTTGTTCTAAGAGAAATGTTGAAATGGGGTCTCACGGGTTTTTTCATATTCCTTTTTTTTATCAAGCCAAAGAGGAATCTTACTTGTCTTTGATAACCAGATGAAACGCTATAATTCGTTTTTTAATGAAATGTTTTGAGTCACAAACAAGTCTTAAGTATTGAATATGCAAGAACACGTAAGATATCATCTCTAATGATGCATAACCAAAATAGTAATTCAAGGTGTAAGAAAGAGGCCTTGGAAAAGCGAAAATATATCTGCGAATGTCAATATAACAGTCATTGAGGAAACTACATTTTCGATCGAGTGTCGATCCTGCAGCWGGGGGAGGGTGTATGGAGGTGGCGGGGTTGCAGCCTCCCCAAAATRTAAATTGGCTGTAAATTGATGTTTCGGGATRGAAATACYACATTTTTTTCACCGATTCAACAAGAGCTATTATAGCAATTATAGCCAAATATGATGGTCTGTTTGGTTTAATTGCACGTGTTTTTCAGTAAATAAGTGAGAATCACCCACAATACTCAGACTGACTTTCAGCCGTACACTCAGGCATTCTTTTTTACCACATAGACAAGGAAAAAAAATCTACGAATTTTTATTCAAAAATGGTTTTCAGACGTATRATATTCAGATTATATTTCTGATATKCTTCAATCGAATCTAGATCAGTCTGGACGAGCCAATTCCCAATCGKATAATAATGAATATTTTTCAGATTAAAACATCAAATTACCCGGAAAAACGTAGGATAGGTTTGACACTAGTATGTTTAAACCAGTCCGGAGCTTCTGCTCCATTGCCAATCTGCAAAAGTATTCACATCTGTTTTTGTATGTAATAAAGTATTGAGTGATAACTTTAGCTGTCTTATCTTGACATTAGTCATAGTTTGATGAGTTTTCCTCTGTCCACTCGACCGAGTCCATTGAAGAACGATCCAGAAGAAAACATTAATCTTATAGAGTGTTTATTATTGCACAAGCTGTTTTGAATAATATTTTCGATCATTAATTTCAGTGCAAACGCTTTATAAGTTTTCGCATCCAGTAACTTTTTTATAGTACAGAGGGGCTGTTCTCATGCATGAGATCGAGTGCCCGTGGGCTGTGTCGCTATTAACTAGCTTTTTATTTCTTTATAAAACGAAGCCAAAAAAGGGTAGTTCTACATCCGTAATAAATAATACATCGAAATAACTATAAAGAAATGAAATATTTTTACAAAACATCTTATCTTTCAATGTAAAATTAACCATTTCCTTCGTAAGTATGTTAATTGTTTATTCGTATATTCAAAGTTACGAAAATAGCAAATAAATTTTCGTCTTTGTTTTTTTGTTATGAAAATCTTCATTTGCATCGAAAATTACGACAGCTTTTGAGAAATATCCGTATTAACTTATACTCATTTAAAAACAGTAATACTTGTTACTGAAAGTGAAAGTTTAGTCAATTCAAAATATCCATTAGAGTTCGTCATAGTCAAATGACTTTTTCCTCTTTGATCGCCGCGACCTCCTTCAAAGTTAAAGGAAAC